TCTGTGTTTTATTTTGCGCTTTTTTTTTGCTTTAATTGAAGCAAACAAATCGGAGCTTTGTATAAGAAGGAAAAAAGAAACTCTTTCTCTCTTTTGCAGTAGCAGCAGATAGAAGTTATAAAGAAAAAAATATTGTTCGAAGCTGCTGCTGCTGCTGTTACTGCGCTCGTATAACGCACGAGTCAGCAGCAGCAGCGGCATCAGAAGAGGTTGCTGCAGCGCCGAAACGAGGCACTCGAGAAAAACGAACTGCCTGCCTGCCACCGCCGCCGCCGCCACACGCGCGCGTCAAGAGCATAGACTACTCCTTTAGCTATATAGGTATGCATTTCATATAAAATACGTGCGGGAGGGCTAGTAGTCTCGCGCGTCTCTCTCCGGGATAACTAATTGCGCGACTCGACCGATTCTTAATTAATACGAGGAAAAACTGTCTGGTCGCTATGTGCGCGCAAACTAACTCAGCACACGTGCAGCTCGTAACAAAAAGTTTCCAAGAATTTCAGCGCGCGCAGAGTCCTTGTGCGCCAACAGCCTTTTTTTTTATCAAGTGTATATCCGCGAGTAGGTATAATACTTTTTTGGTTTTTCTATACATCGAGATAATCGATGCGGCTTATGTATTCGTTGATTCCAAGTTGTGTGTACTTAGCGATAACGAGGTCTCTTTGTACAAATTGGACGAATGCTCGGCCTTTTTTTCAAAACTAAAACGTATAAGAGTGTAATCGTTCGAAATTTCAAGGGACTCGGTACAAAGATGATTATTACATTTAGTTCAGATCTAAAGCTTTCCGTAGCGGTAGATATGCAAGTTCCGAGATGCGATAGTAGAGAGAGAGAGAGCAGAGGGGAAAAAATTCGAAATTAAAGAGCAGTGGATTCGTTTATGTACACACATCGGTAAACACACTCTTGAACTGCCAAATGTATACACCTACTCTATAAACACGCTTGTAATGCGCTCGAATCCTTCACGCTCGACTATTCTCAAAAGTACACCGAGTAAATAAACATGCGCCTCTATATGTGAGTGAATGGACGTTTGTTTTCAATTTTTTCGGAGTCTGTGCTTCTAATCGCGATCTCTTTTTTTCCCTCTTCTTGTTCTTCTTCTCTTGTCCGTCTCGTTGCGGCGCGCGTCACAACAACGGACGGACACATGGACGCACGAGAGAGAGAGAGAGCGTTTGGTGTTTACACTCGTGCCGCGCGCGCACGTTATCAATTATAGGGAAAGAGTTTTCGTATCGTATCGCCGCGGAGCCTATGTGTTTGCATACGCAAACGTTGTTTATAATTGGAAATTCAAATGACAATGCGGAGGCCTCGATATGTAGAGAACACTTCGTGCATTATTTACATTATATAATTGAAAAAGAAAAAGAGCGTTGGTATCTCGAGGTGCAGTTTTATTTATTTTTATCGTCATCCGTATAGCAGCTCTCGCGCGGGGCCAAGTGGAGACAGAAACGGACCGATACTTCAACACAGGCATAGTATTCTACTACTACAACTACACACACAGACGTACGGGCGCACATAGAACCGGTTTTTCGACAATGGCGTCCTATACGTTTAAAATATTCATATGCTTGTTTACGGTCGCAACGAGTATATGGTCGACCGACCGACCGCGAGGGGGACTTTTCATCCGTATATGTGGAAGATAGACTCTACTCGCGGTTCATTTATACATGTATACAGGTACGCGATTCAGAAAAAAGCCAATCGCAGAAATGTTCGAGTATACGTATTTTATATCGGTGGAAAAAGCCGTTAGTATAGATAATATATATGTGTTTGTGTGTGTGCGGACCGTGGCCCCTGAGATTTTATTCCACAACTGGACAACTGGACAACTGCGAGATCGCGAGCATTAAAAAGCCGTCGCGTCGCAAAACAACCGCAATAGGACGGTCGCGCGCGCGCTAGCACAGAGAGAGAAAGAAAGAGATCGGCATCTAATGCCGATTATATAGCATCGCGATCTCTGCTCTGTGTGTAGGACGAGTCTCTCTTCGTTCGTTATACGGGTCCTATGAGCACGAGCGTACGTACAGCATTACGTGCGCACCGAAGTCAGAGGGAGAGACGGACTCTCGGGCCGACCGTTAAGCGCCGCGGGAGGAGGACAACGAAAACGACGAAGACGACGACGACGACGACGACGACCGAGACTGAGACCAAGGTGGAGTATATAGGTAGCGCAATGAAGAGCGCCCAAAGGGAGCAAAGAAGGCAGGCAGCACAAGGAGGTAAGGCAACACACACAACGGCCAACGCAGCGGCAATTCTCCTCGGTGTATCCTCGCGCGCGACCTTCGGCGGCAAAAAAGGCGCATACGTATACAGCACAGTCTCTCTCTACTATGCTGCTGCACGTTGCTGCTGCTGCTGCTGCAGGCAAGATTCGCTTTTCCCTCCCTACTTATATTATATACTCGGTATGTGTGTTCCCTCTTCCTTTCTCGCGCGCGCGAGAGGCCCTGCTGCTGCTGCTGCTGGAGACGCGCGTTCCATTCGACGCGTAAAGTAAACCCTATATGTGTGTTTGCGCGTGTGTGTGTACACCTATATACACACATACACAGGGCGAATATCTCGTGAAAGGAGAGACTCGCGATCCGGCAATGGCCGGTTATAGTATACACGCTGCTGCTGCATACTATATAGAATACTATACCTGGACAGTACGCGCGCGCGCGAAAATACGTGCAAAAAAAATCGTCCACACACACGGCGGGGATCGTTTACGAGCGTCGTCCTGTTCCTCCTCCTCCACCTCCTCCGACTCGTTTGAATTTGCTCTTTGGAGGTTATACGCGGGGAGGACCTTTTATAAAAGCGAAGGATCTTTGCAGCGAACGGAAATACGCTATTTTGGGAGATTTCAATGCCGAGCGAGTATCGGTAATCGTTTTATGAAAAAGTTGAATCGAAACACAGCGCCTGGGAGAAAAATTTGCATCCGGAGCGCTGAAATCCGAAGCTATGAGCTATTGTGTATACGCGAGGGACGCTTCGGTCATCGACGACGATATTTGCATATATTTATTCACGCGTACGTGTGTGCCGATGACGATGCACAACTCGAGCGCTAAAATGCGTGCATGCACTCGACGAGCTGGTTTACACGGTATATATGTAACGTACGATTCAGCACGAGATTCTTACGCTCAGATATCGAACTACTACTATACGCGCTCGTAACGCGCCGACATCGGCAAATTCCAATCCACCGTCTCCCGTTTACACACACACACATTCTCGTCCCTGCGTGTATATATATCGTATAACTAAACTGCAGCGCATGCAAATTCACTCACCTGTGGCCAAATCTTCTCGTATCTCTCTCTTTCTTCTGTCCTCTTCGTTGAATCGGAGCGGGATACGCAATCGTACGTACTATCGAAACGAAACAGTGCCAAAACCCGCGTACGACCCACTTGTTACCCACTTGTCACACACTGTATTCTGTATATATTCGTTAAATCGGTGCACTGATATTTATAATAAAACACACAAACTCAAGCACGGTATAAACGGAGCAAGTGTATCATACGAACTCCAAAGTGAACGAAAACAACGAAAAAAAAACTTGAATAACGTAAAACTCAAACAAAACAATAAAGAATAATCACAACACCACCACGGTTCACAGACACCTTGACATGTGCGTAAATATTTCGCTCTCTTATACACATGCACGAATAAATACACAAGGATACCAATATTATGTACTACGTACTATACTACGTATGTATACGCTTATGTGCCGTGTAGTAGCGGCGCGCGCGCGAGCGAGGGTGACTATAGCAACGCACTTGTGCACCACGAAGACACCGTCGTCGTCGACACAAGAGAGAGACACACACGTATACTACGTGCACTCCGCTTTTTTATATATACACGCACACACGGACACTCTTTTTCTCTCTCTCTACCTACACGCTGCTTCTTTATGCATCGTGCCGAGCGTGTGCATGCACGCACCTATATACTCGTGAACGTGTGCAGCAGCGGCAGCTCCTTCGCGCTTCGAACGGAAGTCCGAGCTGCACTCGCTCTCCTTTGGCACTGCACTCACACACACACACGCGTAGTGTGTGTATTATGTATTTCAAGAAACACCGCAACAAAGACAACTGTTACGCACATGCACCACTACCTTCTGATATTCTTGAATGTAAAACGCATCGATCGCGCGACGCGCACTCGATCGAATGAATCTCTCCAACGGTGTGCTGCGACGCCGATTCGATTTTTTTTCTTTCGCTTTATTTCAAATCGAATCGTAAGAACGCGCAACCGTCGTGCACTGTAACGTAACGCAACGGTTCAATAGGTGAGATCGAACAGTGTTCGTATTGAATCAGAGCATTCGTATGCACGCGCTTTTCGTGCAGTGAAAAAACAACGCGCGATGCAGCGCAGAGAAAATTTTTGCTATATATGTATATGGCTGTACGTCGATCTCGCGAGTAAAGCAACGCGACTGCCGCCGACAAACTGAACTGACGCGAGAACGCGCGGACAAGCACAACTGCTGCTGCTGCCTCTCAGCTTGCCACCGCCGCTGCCGCTAAAATATATAGGTATACCTATATCTATATACCTACACCGCCGCTCCGACTCTTCTCGTTCGTTCGTTCGGTTTATAATCTTCCAAGTCTGCCGCGTGCTGTGCACTGCCCGCCCGCCCGCCTACCACGCGCGAATTTCGACGGAGCTTCGCCGGTGGGACGCTCGGCGGCGCTAAATCCTGCCTACAGATAAGGATATTTTAATGCATAAAGGGCGAGGAGAGGATTTTTATAGGCTCAGGTAGGATGAACGTTACGCGATCTTTCGCAGCGGTTTTTCGAATGGAATGGAACGTTATTGAACGCACGAGTGGAATTCGAATGTGGCGTGTTAAATGAAAAACGAACGTTTACGAAGGTAGATAAATTTTTTATTTTTCAACTTATTTTACAACTTATTGATTATTGAATAGATATGAACACAGAAATTGCGATGACTCGAAAACTCATTACTTTTCGTTCGATGAGTCTGACTTGTGGCTTTGCAGCTCGTAAATCTGAAATTACAAAAAAAAAAACGAGGGTAATTATCAATCGATTCGCGATACGATAACGGGAAAAAATTTGGAAATCGATATTATTGCTCACTTGAATGTAGGCCTCCGTGAGCGTTATCATTTGCGGCAAAATCGGAGTGACGTGTAGATCCTGCAGCTCGTACCATTGTTGGGTGGCCTTGTGCAGAATGTGCACTCGGTAGGTGCCGTGACTGGGCTCGCCGTCGTGGACCACGTTTGCGACCAGATCGTAGGTCGTGCACGGGTGCATAGCCTTGACTTCCGGAGTCAGGATGTCTCCGAAATCGATGTTTCTGAAAGGTGAAAAAATTACGATTTTTATAGTGCGGAAGAAATTTAGATCTAGGATTTTTTTTTTAACGGATAACGTACTTGACGGGAAAATTGACGATCGTAGGATTCTTTTCCACGAAAAATGTATTTCTCGTAAAGCGTTTGATGTACAGAATTAAATACGGCGGTAATTCTCTTATCTCGAATCTCTTCATAAAATTCTCTTTGTAGGTTTTATACTCTTTCTCGTTTATAGCGTTGAATTTATTCAACAGAGTCCATAGAGTTACCTAAATAAAAATTTTACAAATCGTTACAAAAATTACTTAGAAAAATCTTACAAAAATCTTACAAAACTTTTCCATTTTCTGCGACGGTAAAAATGTTACCTGCGGAATAATATTTTCTGCGTGTTGATCTTTGAAAAGCGGTGGAGGCGGTAAATCGCAGGTCAAGTACAAAAATGGACTTTCCGTCAGCGTTTCTGCGTACTCCACGGTACTCATCAGCTCGTTTCTTTTGCTTTCCTCTAGCTCAAGGGGTGGAATTTTCCGCGTGTAGATTCTCATTTGTCCCAAAAATGTTTTGTAAATGATGCTCGAGTTTTTTTTTTTGGTTCCATTTAGAGCTAAGTGTAGAGCATTTAAGAACCAAGATAGGAAATCCACAGGATCACCTTTGTAAATGGAATGAAAATTAATTTAAGTTTGAATTATTTAATTTAAGAAAGAAAATTCATTAGGTAAATATGAATTACCCTGCTCAGTAAATTGAAATTTTTTTTTACTCCATAAAACTACTGCTTGGAGCATTTCATGAGGACTTACATGTGCCTTAAAATTTCTAGGATTCCATAATTTTCTCATCAATTCTCCAAACCTTTGTACTAAAAGGTATGACGAATCCCCAGGTGGTCTTTTTACTTTTGAATAGTTTTTAGCTCTGAGGAAGTAATTACGTAGAGGTGTGACATGAGACAATGCCTGTAAGAAAATTTATTATAACATCTTATGCAGTTATTTATTAAAAAGTATTCAAATAGATCATCTCACTTGTAAAACAACATTGCAGTAATCATTCTCTTTGATATTGTTCATGCCCACAATACCAGGTGAGTACATTGAACCATCAATAGCTCTTGATAGTTTTCCATTGGTATCTAGCTGCTCAATATGAGCTTTGTCAAATGTTGGATTGAGCACAAATTTAATGTCATCCAGAGATGAATCTAAAATAAGGTAAGAATATCAATTAGAAATTGTCAGACTGTATGAAAATAAAAAGTAATTTTTCACATACCAATGATTTCATAATTATCAGGCAGACAGTAAAATTTGAGAGTATGAAGATTCAAAAAAACATGATGGCTATCAGCAACGCTGTGCGTATAAGCGTAGGTATTGGTTCCTCTACCTTGAAAATATTTGCCACACACTAAGCAAGCATAGACATTGATCCTTGACAGCGATACAGAACAGAGCTTTTCAAAATCAAAATCTAAAAACTGTCTGTTTATCGTATCCAGATAAGGGCATAGTCTAGGTCCATCTCCAGCTTTGGCCAATTTATTGCTCGCTAAAAATTACGAAAGTTGAAAAATGAAATCATTCCCAGAAATAATCATAAACAAAATTAACAGTTAACAAGTTTAACCTGATCATTCAAATTATACTTTTTACCAAAGAAATTTAAAAATGCCAAAGTTAATGGATACAATTCAGATAACTTACGTTCATCGTCACTCGATTCATCGTAATTTTCGAGTGATCTTTTTATTGCTTCTTTCTTTTCTTCCTGAGAATCTGACATGATAAACACAACAAACGGTGTGCGCCGACCGAGCCGTCAAAAGCGTCTGTATATAAACTATAAAGCATGGCCTAGAAAATTCTTGCGAATACAAGCGAGACCGGTCGCCAACCGACAGTCGGCATTCCGTTTCTTGACCGTTTTTGCCGTATACATCTACAGGCCAGCTGCACAATATCAAGCTTCATTGCCGAGTCAACAACTGCGAGATGAGAGGAGTAGGGCATATAAATGCACCGCACACAGGCAGCGCACACAGGGTAGGTAATCATAACCCACAAAAGCTTGTTTTATGTATTCGCGAAGCGGCGTTCGGCGTCGCGAATCATTATTTTGTTGAAATAAGTTCGATATCAATTGAATAAACGAGTTTCGTGGACTATGAAAGATGATTGTGTTGGTATTTTACAGTACGCTTTTCTTAAGAGTATTTGATAAAAGAAAATTCGTTTAACGAGTCAAGTACGCGATGTAGCCGGAACCAAGAGGTGCACCGCCTTTCATTGTCAACTGTCTGTTTTCCCTGTTGATTGTACTGTATTAGCAGTCAAAGATTTAATGAAAATTAATTCTGAAATTCTTGCACCGATGATTTATTAATGTGATTAAAAACAACTCGATCCTGCAGGTGAACAGAATGACTATTTTGAAAAAGATTTTGGCATTTTAATGAATCTCATTTTTGCGTAAAATTTTTCGGCTAATCAATTTCTTAAAATTAATAATAACTAAAATTTTAAAAATAGAATGTTTATTTAACTGGCGAAACGTACCACGAAGACATTAATATTTTCGGTTAATCCGAGGAAATTAGAAAGTGTTCGTTCAACGGCGAAAAAAATGTGCCTACGCAAAAATAATAACATTTTCCTATGCCAAAACGAGATTTTCTTAAAAAACTATTAAAATAAATCACTAATAAATTTTGTATAATCATTGTTTCAGTACATGGATGGCAGAGCCAAGAAAAATTTGCCAGTGATTGCACTTAGATGGAAAATAGTCTAAAAGTTGTCAAAGCATTTTAGTTGCAATGGCTTCAATCCATCAATTTGACTATTTATGTAGATTATGTAGTGATAAAGTGGATCATCTCATGGGTGTACCAATTTTTGAAGAATGTACAACGAATATTGCAAAAAAAATTACAACTGTTTTACCAGTCAATGTGAGTAAAATTCAATGTACAATTTGAATTTCTGAATAATTTAACTAAAATCTTACTCATTTACAGATATCGATAACGGATGAACTTCCAAAAGTTGTTTGTGTCAAATGTGTATACAAACTAGAAGACTTTCATGTTTTTCGTGAAAAGGTTTTACAAACAGAAAAAATGTTTATTCAGATGGCAAAGTCACTAACGAAACATAACATGAATTCTTTAAATGGAATCACTGCAAAAGAGATGCAAAGAAATATTGGTAATTTAGAGAATAATGTAAATGCACTTGATAATCATGATGTCTTGACTCATAATGCACAAAATGGTCTTCACCAAATAGCAGATATTGACAATTTACATCTTCCTGGTAGTAGTAGGCAAATGGTGGTGCAAGAAGAATTATCTCAACAAAATGATTTGCCAGTATCTAGTTTCCACTTAGTTGGTGATGCATCTAGAATGGTAGATGAACAAATGCAAACTGTATGTAATAAAAGTAAACTATAGTCAATAAATTTAATCAATAAGTATTTAAACTACCAAAAATTTTAGGTAACAAGTTTAAGCCAAGACTTAGCCATAAACCTAGATGGCAATTTGACAGTAGGCAATATTAATGTGGGAGATCATCTTAGCCATATAGATATCAACTCCTATGTGGATTCAATGTCATCCACAGCTAACGTACAGCTTCAAGCCGAAAAACTCATTCAATACTGTAATGAAGTAAATACAGACTCCAATATTATGGAAGAAGAACATCATTCTGTGGCGCATTCTTCAACACAAAGTAATATTGATGATGATGGTATGGGTTCTTCTGAAAACACAACACATGCTTTTACGTTAACTTCTACAAGTAATGATATGAACAATGAAAATGGAATGGTCATGCAATATACCAAAGGAACAAAAGATGCACTGATCGAAGATTTATTAAAAAACCCAACAATTGATGAAAATGAATCTACTTGGTAAGAGTTATAATTTTAATTAGTTATTTTTATATTTGTTTTCTATTAGTATTTATTGTACTTTTTATTGTAGGTATATCTGTCCTTTTTGTAATGAGGCATTCTCTGAACCCAGTAATCTTTTGTTGCATTTTGAAGAGCATTTTTATAGCTGTTTGAAATGTGACTTGTACTTTACCAGTATTGATGTTTTTAATTTACACAATCAAAACTGTTTTGTAAATAAGTCAGATTTTACTGAAAACAAAGAACAAATCCAGTTCTCTGAAGTTCAACCACCTGTTGAAGAGTCTTCAGAAAAAAAGCCACAAGGATCTCGGATAAAGTGTGCACCTAAAATTTGTACTCATTGTGGTAAAGAGTACCCTACAAATTACAAATTACAAGTAAGTCATCCCTGTAAAGACAAAAACATTAAAAACGTTATTTTTTAAGCAATATTTAGTATTGAACTATACTATAAAAAAGTTGGTTAAAATTAAATCATTTTTAAACTTTTTAGGAACACATGCGCAAACATACAGGTGAAAGACCATTCCAATGCAGTTTGTGCGAAAAAGCTTTTCGCAGTAAAATAGGTCTTGCTCAACACACCGCAACACACACAGGTCAATTTGACTATAGTTGTTCAACCTGTGGCAAAGGCTTTCAATGCAAAAGTTATCTTATTGTGCATCAACGAGTACATTCTGATGTTAAACCATATTCTTGTTCAACTTGCAACCAAAAATTCAAAACTAGACAATCATTATGTGACCATGAGAATCGACATAAAGGAGTCAAACCTTATAAATGTGAAATTTGTGGCAGAGGATTCATCACTAAAGGGTTGTGTAAAAGTCATCAAAAAATACATTCTGGATTAGATAACAGACAATATCCTTGTGATGTATGCAACAAAATGTTTGTTAGCAAAAGTTATCTGAATACTCATCTAAGGATTCACACTGGCGAAAAACCTTTTCTTTGTGAAGTGAGTTAAACCACATTTTTGTTTGCTACCAACGTTTTTAAGATTTTATCAACAATTATTCTAATTTTTTTTAGGTATGTGGCAAAGGATTTCTCACCAGAGTCGATCTTAGAGTTCATTCAACCATGCACACAGGTAAGAAAGACTTTGAATGTGATATATGTGGAAAAGATTTTGCTCGCCGTTCAGCATTGCAATGTCATAGACGATCTCATACGGGTGAAAGACCGTACCGTTGTGATGTTTGCAATAAAACTTTTACGCAATTTAGTCCGATGAATATTCACAAACGTTTGCATACCGGTGAACGACCTTACGCGTGTGATATTTGTGAAAAATCGTTTACTTCTCGTTCTACGATGATGTGTCATCGCAAAAAACACGACAAACCCAATGAAGAACCACCGTCTCTAAATGAACTGAAATTAGAAGAGGATGGCAAAGACACAAGTCATTTGACTGAAAGTAATGATGGTACTGACTAATTTTAGATACTCTTAAGTTGCAAATATCTTTAAGAATTTGAGTGGCTAACCATTGTTCTTGGTGCAGATAGAATTTTTGATAAGTGATTTATACAAAAAACAAATGTATATATATTTTGTACATACAAGTACTTTTGATAGTTCCATATATTTTCTCGCTAGCTTGAATCATGTACATAATTTTTATATTATTATCATGACAACATTTTAGAAAGTAGTTAGTATAAAAATATCAAATATTTTTTTATCTAAAAAAACCAGCAAAAAAATTTGTAATGCTTCGAAATTGCATAAAGTGAATTTACTTTTAAAATAATTTATATTGACTATGAACGATGTATCATGATTTAGATTACTATGATGCTTGTATTAATAGTAGTCTTAAGTATTGTAAAATATAAATATATTTATTAGTATTTACATCAAGATTGCATAATACTTAACTAATGTTTTTTATACACTAAAATTACATCAAATATAATTGAAAGTATTTGCTGATTGTAATATGATGAGTGCAACAATAAATCCGAATTCATTTGTTGATAATTTATTGTGATTGAAAATTTCGAAATCATTAGTTTGGTTTTCACATAAGTCTTAGAGTGTAAAGTGGGGTCAAGGAATCACTACAAGATTCTGAATTTTTGTGTAAAAATTAGTTTATTAATCATTAACAATTACATCACAGCGACGCTATCGAAGAAAAATTCTCAAGTCTTTAAATATTACTGATTATCCGCTACCCGCTGCAACTTATCCAGCAGACTATTTCCAAAGGACTGGGTGTAGCTGGGACTGATGGCCGACAGCAGTGCGTAGATCGTCTCGTAGCACTGACCCACCTCCTGCTCGCCGTTGACGCAGTCGTGCCGATCGCCGACGACGCTGAAACCGGCCGTGGTCAATCGGATGCACAGCTCGCTGCCCTCGAGCGTCGTCAAGTTCAGATGGATCTTACTGTTGGAGTTTTGGATGTCCGGGGCCTCGCAGACTCGCAGTTCGCGCACGTGATCTCGCACGTCGTTTATGACGGCTCGAGCCTCGAGCTTCCACTGGTTGGGGTCGTTCAAAACTCCGTCTTGATCGTTCGACTGCATCATCTTCTCTGCTCTCTTTTGCGGTTAAAAGCACCTGTAGAGATTCGATCGAGTGCACTTTTATTTGATAGGCGATTACGATCGACGATCGATGCACTCGGACACGTTCACTTCGCACCCGCACCGCAGAAGTTAAATTATTTCCAATCAATGAACGATGTCTTCTGCATGTTGGTTTGTTTACGTTTTACGGATTGTTTACGTACCGCATGGCTAGATACTGATGCGTCATATGATGTATACAAGGACTACGGTGCTGCCACAGAAAGAATCGGTAAGGTAGAACATTTCGAAGATCCGAAAGTTTCGCTTGTCATCGGCTGACAAGTATGCCCGTCCGATCGACAGTATCTACTTATCGTAAAGAAATATTTTTCAACTCGAAGAGAGAAAAAATCAAGATGCGATCAGTGACGGTATCTTACGACAGGAAGGAAAAAACCGAAGAAGGAGGCATCAGCAGAATAGATTAAATAGCCAATGGCCCATTTACACTTGTCAGAAAGGCATTTAAATCTCACGTTTCAAGAGCATCAGATGGATTTCAAAAAGTCTCTATGAAAAAAAGTAAGAAGATCTGTAGAAATGACAGCTGTCACGTTCAAAAAAGAACAACAAGCGATCAATGACGCATCTCTCTGCTTTTGTACTGCAGCATTATTTCAAAGCTATATCGACTCGCTTTTTCAAAAATCGCCAGGCAGATACGTACTCCACTTTTCACGCGTCAGCTCGCATGACTCGCCGCCATTCACCCAGATGGTGCGCAGGAATTTCAAGCACATACATATAGACGGTCGATCCGTAATTGGTTCTATATAAAAAAAAAATCACCTCTCTAAAAATGGTTTGATTTACTTTTTCGAAAATGACACGCGTGCACACACACACACACACACGGATCCGAATTTAGATCGGCCGCGAAGGTCGCGTATGCGTATAGCAGCACACGCCTCGGTATTATATAGCAGCGGAGCTTTCACAATTTTCGCCAGGCGCATATAAAAGGAAAGTACGACGATTGCATAATTGCAGTACTCGCTTCGAATCGGTAATTTCTTGCAAAAAAAAAAGAACGAAGCGAAGCAAAAAATCTTATCGGCGCACGAATGCGCTATCGTATTATGTACAAGCGATGACGATAAGTGACATGTCGGCCCAGATCGACTTGTGCTGGAGACAGATGTATAAAAAAAAAGTTATTTTTGGGAATCACGGTGTGAAGAGCTTTATATATAGGTCCCCTTTCGAATGACTCATATTACGGAGTTTTATCGCTGTGTGTACACTTTACACATGCGGGCATTTAAAGTTTAAACGCGCCTGACTGTGCTCTGCTGGTGTTAGCCTGTATCGCACCGCCACCTGTCTCACAGGGCGCACACTGCAAGGTGTTCTTCTATCTTTTTCTTTCTCGCTCTCGGCGCTATGCTCTCATGAGGATATCACGCAGCTCTAGCAGCGCAACAGCCAACGGCACAGCACAGCTCGACTTTCGTAGCAGCAGCACAGCATATATATACATCGCGTTATATACAGTCAGCAGCGCCTGCTTACGTTTCAAACGGCGGTTCAATGTTTTGTCATAAGTCAGCTTCTGCTCCAGTGACCCTTGAGTAGTGCGCAAAGTAGTGCACGTGTTTAGGAGGCAAACAGCTGTTCGCGAAATCGCGGGTGGACGAGTGCAGCGTGTTGTCGTGCGCGAGCCCCCCTTCAAGATCATGGAAGAATAGTCGTCGTCGTCGTCGTCTTAGCCCCGAGTCTCGCGGATATTTTATCCCGTCCAGTCGTGGTGTTTTTCGGTGCATCGGGGGAACCTCGAGGCGTGCGTGAAAGTCGCACTATACGCTTGCTTGCAACATCTGTGTAAGTGTGCGTGTGGCTATAACCTTAAAAGAAAAAAAAGAGCGAGAGAGAGAGAGAGAGAGAGACTTGCCTTCGCGCACCGAGTGTCCGATCGTGCCCCCCGTGCGTGTGTGTGTCTTGTCTGTGGAGGCCTGGGTACAAGGTGTTTTAAATAAACAAAGGTAATAATGGATTATGATGGTGACTACGATGAAGAATTTGACGTGGTAAAAGAGCTCGGCCTGCCACCAGGAGTCTACGATCTCAAGATCGGCAAGTCGTTCTTCCACGAGACTGGCTTTCACACGCTCAAATGTGAGTTTGCGTTTTTTTTATTTTTAGAATAGAATATACAAATTTTGGAAAGCCGTAAAAGGCTTTCTTCGTGGGCCTCGTGCATCGAATTAAAACTTGTGTTCTATCTGATTGCAGATGATTTCAAGCCAGCCAGCGTCGACGAGTCCCAAAGTGCCAGCATATACGTAGGAAAAAATAATAAACTGACAGTTACTGTGCCGAATCCAGACGACCATGCCTCCAACACAGTGTACAAAGGTTCAGTCGATGATTGCGATGACGACTGGGTGTTTGTTATTGATAGCGAAACCAGAGAAATAACTCTAGAACAATTAACCTCTAATATAGTAGTAAAAAAAACTAGGTAAGAAAATTTATTCTTGCATTCATCGCAAACATATGTAATCATTTTTTATCTCTTTGATTGAAAATTTTGTAAAACAATTTTTTATTTGCTTGCAGGTCAGATTTAGAAACAATAAATTCAGATGTTAGGAATGGAGGTGATTCTGTGCCAAATCAAAATTCTGGTGATTTAGAATTAGAAGAGAAGAGAAGCCCAGTAAATCGAAATCAATCCAGTCCTAAACATAAATTCAGAATTAATCCCACAAGTCGCAATAAAAGTACAACCAAGGTTGTATCTGAACATAAAAAGAAGCCAAGTAATGATGTATACCCAAGGAACAATCGTGCCCCAGTCAAACCAAACAGTCCAACAATGCCCACAAATGATGTTTTATTGCCTTCTCCACAAGTACCATTTGGAAGCCTTCCTATGATAGGGGATGATTTTACAATGAATACAATAAGACCACCATCACCTGCGTCACCTGTGCACGAAAACAATTACAATAATGATATTAATAATGTAGGTACAATGAGTGATTCTAGTTCTAGTAGCAGCGCTAGCTCTTATACTTCAGACAGTGATTCTGAGCCTGAAAAGACTTTTAAACCTGATAGAGTCAATCACAATGATAAAACAAAAATAGCTGATAATTATTTACTAACTGAAGACTTACAATTATCATCTGAATCAGATAGTGATTGAAAATTGTTTTACACTCTTCCAGTTTGAAAGTGGAACAAATTTTTAAAATATAATAATATATTTTTGTTAGTAAATGACATATTTTTGTTATAAAGTGTTTGCAGTTGCCTTAGCAGTATGAGAGAAGTGAAAATACTTAATATGCATAATAATTTTTGAAGATCTTTTATTTATCAAGAAATTTATATGTATATATTTATAGATATTTATTATAAAACTTGAATATTTGTAAATAATATGTACTTGTTATAATGATAAGCATGGATGATTGATTTTGTCATTACTTTTGTGCCTTCTACGTACAAAGAATAAGAATAAGTCTTAGGGAAAATTTTTAAATATTGCCATGTAAATTGTACTCATGTACATATGAGATGTTTTGACTAATATTCAGTTTATTTGAATTGTTAATAAATTTATAATTTTCAATTTACAAATGAACCACATACCAAGCATACATTTATTTTTCTTTTGAAACTTTGTGTTAGATCTTAGATCTGCGCATACAAGATGCTACCGCATACTCTAGTTGAGTGAAAATCGGTAAAGTAGAAACATATCTAGCCTAGCGCATTTCAAAGAGCGAGCGCTACACCGATGTAGTCGAAAAAATTTTGAGTTACGTAATTAAGCTGTGACAGAACTTTTATTGTCGTGATCGAACTGTACATTCGCAGTTGAATTAATTTTATAGTGGCGCTTTCATTCGTCATAAAAAATTAATTTTTGGACCTCGTAAATTTTAATCACTTTTACAAGAAAACTAGTTCCTAATCCCGGCACACTGTGCAAGACTCAGTATCATTTTTTAATTCTCACGAAATTATTATAAAAAAAACAATTTTATTTTAATTTTTGAATGCTTTTCGTTATATTGCATTTTTGAAAGTTCCAAAATTTTGGTTTGTCACTAACACGTAACCAATTCATAACATTTTTCTTTAAATTCTGCGTGTTGAATTTTTTCTTCTTTCGTCTTTCATGATTTTTTAAAATGCGTCTCACGAGCGAACAATTTCAGTTGAAGCGAATAGCGTACGATTCACCATTCGGATACTGTAGCTTCAACGGTTCATTCGAAAGTTACGACACATGAACGTCTTTTAAAAAATATCATTTGTCAGAAAATGCAAAACAAAACAAAAATTCAACACGTAATGGACACGAAAAAGTATCATGGAAACAGTTTTCATTGAGTGAAAAGTCAAAGTTTTGTAATTATAAATAAAAAATGGAAAAGAGAGGAAAAAATTCTACTCATGAATGAAAAAAACAATTTTGAGTTAAGGTATACGTATCCCTTTATAATTTCTGGAAGTTTAAAATATTGAGTTATTAAAATGTATTTAAAATTATAACGTTTTTGTACTCGTAAAATGACGTACGATTTTAATAAAACGGTCACGTTTCTAATAAAATATTAGCTTATAAAATATGCTCCAATGAAATATTTCCTTATTCACAAAAAGCTCGCAACATATAAAGTTTACTTAAACTTTCAAAACACACCTTACAATGATATACATATAAATAATGTAAGTATAAGATAAAAATCGTTATAAAAATGTATCAATAATAATTTTTGTACGAAACTGTTGCAAAGTAACAAAAGCATGGACTCCAAGAAATTGATAATGGATATTTTCAAGATGTCAAAGACAGACCCAAAAATTGTTTACGATCACTTCGTTTTGTCGTTAATGTGGCCTCAGGGTAGTTGTCATTACGTCCGATACGAGCATATTCAGGATGAAAATGAGCGGATGAGACTGATCCAAGAATCCACAAAGAAAACGTGCAGCGAATGCAACATGCCAACGGATAAAAGAAACTGGACCATTCACGGCTTGTGGCCAAGTAGCGATACACTAACAGAGAAAGAAAAAATAAAGCATTTATATTATTGCAGGGAAGACGAAGTTGACGAAGGATCGTTCAGTACTGATTTAAAGAAGAATCTAAAATCTAAGTGGATTTCTTTCGGTAAACGTTCTGACTCAAAATTTCGTCGATATGAGTGGAACAAGCACGGTACCTGTGTGAAAATAGACGACTTGAACAGCCCAAAAAAATATTTTAGAAGAACCGTAGAACTTTACTTGAAGTATCAACCCGGTATATATCTACATGAAAACGCTAGAATCATATCGGGAGGCACGTACCCAATTAAATTAATACATGATCGTCTAAAAAAATTCCTGGGTGCTATTCCTACTATCGTCTGCTATCAATTGGTTCGTAAAAATATAAATTTGCAATTTAATACTAATTTAAACCCTTTATTGATGAAAAAAACGTACTCAAATTATAGAAAAATGGTAGCCAGTATATCCGAGAGATACGTATTTGCCTGGACAAAGAACTTGATAAACCAATTAACTGCAAATATACTCTCAGCTCATGTTATCCTTCCAAGGATCCTGAAAAAAAAGGTGTTATTGAGGCTATTTATCAGAAACCTAAGGAGCCTTGCTCCAACCGTAGATACGTATAATAAAAGATCTGCTTTGAGAGCTTTTACATGTATTTTCTGAATGAGCGAAGAAATCAAGAAACGAAAATTGATCATTATCACAAGCAGATACAAATCCAAGTATTAATAATCTGTTAATTTATTGAAATCTATAATCAATCCTTTAAATATATCAGCCCTTGATTAATCCATAAAAATAGCAGATAATGTGCAAATGTAAGCTCTTTAATCGGCTGAACCATCCCCCTTTTAGTTTACAAAAGAAAAAAAAATGAATTTTGCGCGCGAGCCTTACAAATAATGACAACGAACTAATGTAACCTCAAAAGTCAACAACTCAAGATTTTAATTCAATATTAGGGGCAGTATCTTTAGTAAGCGTCAATTTTGTCAATTGGGAGCATAATAAATCGTTGCCCCAGAGTAAAAATATATCTCTTTAAGCTAAGAGGCAAAAAAGTACTAAATTCCTATCTTACAAATAGGACTTGAGTACGTTTTTACCTCCGAGTCTAAAGATATAACTTTTTCCTCTTCTTCTGATATGTTGTCTACTGTATTGATTTTGAGCTTATACTCCGAACAACGTCGTCGAAGTTTCAAGAATTTCCAGCCCACTTCGATTAATAACTCAGAACACCATCAATAATTTATTATGAAATCATTTTTCAAAGTCTTCAGATTTTAATTTTTTGTCGCTCGAGAATATGTAGAACCAAAAGCAAACAATATTGCGCTTATACTCGAAGCTCTGTTTAGATAAGTCGTCACATCGGTAGTGCTAACATTTACAATATTCCGTCTTTTTTGGAAATTAAAATTTTTTAGATTTATAAGTGTACCTACAGTTTAATCTGATCGGTGATTTTAATTGTTCTGTTGGTTTTCGATGGGAAGCCTGAAAAATTGGAGCCTATTGAAAATAATAATACCTTCAGTATTATAAGGCTGACTGATCAAACTTTGTAGTGTAGCTGTATGGACGCCAAAAGCTATCCATCTCCATCTATTGACGCAATGATGAACCATGATGAAATGGATATTAAATTTGATTTTAACGAGCGTATACAATTATTCCCAAAATTACTTCCAGCCTGTAAAATAACAATGATAAAGAAATTAAAACACGAAAGAAAGAAAATATTTCAGCTTATCAAAACTGAATCAATTACTTTTTTAGAGAGAGAGAGAGAGAGAGAGAGAGAGAGAGAGAGAGAGATTAGTTACCGTATGTCGCAACATCTTTACTCAATTGAACGATTTCTATCCCACATGGAAAAAATTTCGCAGCTCCATGATCATCGAATCGAACGACTTTTCTTGGAAAGAAAGAAAACGAAAAACTCAGATGTGGTAGTGGCGCTGCAATGAAATCTCGATGTACATAATAATGTCTTACATTGAAAAATTGAAATGCGCAATACCGGCGTCTAAGGCGCCGTCGTTGTCGGCGTAATTAAAAAAAAAAAAAAAAAAAAAAAAGAAAGAAAAAAGACGAAGAAGAGCTCGGAGTCGCGATGCTTCGCAGTATAGTATATCTATAGTACGTATATAACTTTGGCAATTGGAAAAATACAAAAGCTCTGCGATTTACAGTCGGCGAAAGAGAGAGAGAGAAGAGAGAGAAGGGAAATGACAATTTCATGCATATTTCGAGGTGGCAATGCGACGCTGTATATACGATGTATATAGAATAAGACTACGCGAATATAATAGAGCGTGCGAGCGACGAGCTGGCATCATCATTAAAACATGGCGTTCATGCATATTCATAATGTAATAGACTATGTATAATTCGGCAGCGAAGTGTAAGTTCAAGAAAGTTGCCATCGCATTTTGGGTACGAGGAGCGCGCAGCCAGCTACTGTTTGAATTATTTCAACTTATATACTCCGACTGCTGCTCCTACTCCTACTGCTGCTGCTGCTACATGGCTAATGGGTAGATCTGTATTAACGAGTAGTCTCGAGGCTTTTGCTGGGTGGAGCTTTCGAAGCACGGCGTACACCTACCCCCCACGATGCAAGTCCCAACGTCGAAGAGGCAGAGGAAAGACTTTATATCATGTGACCGAAATGCGTAATCGAATGATTATCGATGGAAAATGAAGCGATACGATGTGTGTTGCCTCGATAGAAGAAAAAAAAGTACGTAATTTAACGGTCGAGATCGACCCCTCGAGTTTCGCCCGTAGTTCGACGAAGCTTTACTGATCTTCCACTCGAATTGCCTATTGTACACCACGATGAGCGCTTTTTCTCATTCGACATTATACGTACACAAGATGTTCAAATTTACGCACCAACGAAAAATATTACGTATGGCACTGCGCACGAAGCAGTGCACACGTGCATACATATAGGCGTCTGCCGGAGCTGCAGACAAGAACAACCCTTTGAAAAACGAAAGTGCAAGTTTTTCGCCCGACACGCGTTGCTACGAGCTGTCGACGTCATCGTTGTCATCGTCGTTGCTGTTATTTTTGTTGTTGGAAAAGTCGGGTTCAAGGTTTTCTCTTGTATATACGTAAGCAAAGAGAGAAAAGAATCCAAAAGAGAGACGAGCGCGCAACAACGATATTCATTGTCGCGCTAGGATAAAAGGTATAAAAGAAAAATGAAGAAGAAGAAGAAGCGCCAAGAGCTCTAGCCTATAACGCAGCGCGCGTCTTTTCCTTCAAAGTCGCTCTCGCAATTCCCGTATAAGGTATATATACGCAGTGGCCGCAGGACAAGGGCATCTCCTATATACACACACACATTTACGCAGCTATATGAGAGAGTTGAACCCCCATGCTACAAAGGGCGCCAGTGCGAAATAGGCAGAAGCAGCAGCAGCAGCAGAAAAAGGAAACAATGACTCGAGTGCGAGAGGGAAGTCGTAAAAAGGGGGAAAGGTACAAATGAAAGCAAGTCGGAGTTCGCAGTCGTCGTCGCCGTGGCAGTTCGAGAAAGCGTTACATTATATACGTATACGCTCGAGGTACTAATAAGGCTCGCTCTGCGCGCGACGAGTCTCTAAAACGCCGTCGTTGTGTCCTAGCTTCTTCGCTTCTAATAACTTATACGTAACAGTACTGCAAAGCGCGCGAAAAGATGCATATGCCAGGCGCGCGACGCATCAGTCGACTCTCTTCTCGAACGATAAGAGCTGAGCTCGAAAAAGCCATATTGCCAATTCGTTCGCGCGAGCTTCGTGCGCAATTTAGCGCCACGCGGCCATTATAATATCCTATTCGTCCCGTTCGTTTATACTGTTTATCGATAAAAACTTTTGCCCCTCCTCCCCTCTTTTTGTCCGTTTTACTCCTTTTTATAGGCGAGCCCGTTAAATTTTGCCGTCGTTTTATGCTCTCGGGCGCCCGATCATAAAGTCCCCCCTTTCCTCCTTCCGAAGCTCCGAGAGCGCGCGGAGATTTTTACGATTACGTAAAACTGTCCTTTCCTCGCGCCAACAGCAGCACCATGTATAGCGATAGCAGTAGCAACGCCATAGCCACTCGGGCTGCTCTTGCAAAGCAGCAGCAGCAGCAGCAAAGGGTTCGAGAGCTCTTGTTCTTAGCGGCAGTAATCCATCAAGTGTGAGAGAGAGAAAGATAGAGACTACGGGGGTGGAGAGAGAGAAAGCTAAGTAAGCGCGCGAGGGGTTAGTTTTAGCAAGTACTCACACGCACAAGTGCAGCCGAGGAATAATCCTCTAATGATTTTGCTCTCTCTCTCTCACTCTCTTTCTCCGAGTCCGATCGTTTTTCAAACTTTTCTATCTTTTTCTCCGAGTGTATATATAGTATATTCGTGCGTTTGGCTGGACCCCTGGTCCTAAGCCAGCTCTTAATTACCGCGCACTGATCCATAGAGCTTTTTTTCTCTCTGTCTCTCTCTGCTACCGACTGTACTGCGTACTCCCAGTAGTAGAACGGTAGAAATCGTTTCTGGCAGAGGATTTTGACTCGACGCCGCTGCGCCGCGCTCCTTAACGCGCGAATAAATCCCTGCCCTGTGCTCTGCCTTGGCTCGCGCTCTCGACTTTTCTCCCGATTTGTATAGTATAGTTGCAATCGATGCTCGTTGCTGCTGGCCGAAGTGAGCCTGCGGATATCTCTCGACTGCTGACTTTACTTTCAATGTCTTAGTAAGAAGACGAAAACGTCTTCTTTTTACGTTAAATATATCCATCTATAGATCGGAGGTACATTATATACCCCTAGGATTTCTCGATCGTTAATCATTTTCATGCGTGTCGGTACGCCGACGAGATCGGCGAGGACACGATATAATACACGACGATGATATACAATCGACCTTATCGCGTCGTAAACACACACCCGCGCGTACAAATACGGCGCATAAAAGACACGATATAACGCGCGCGAGTCTTCGCACCATATAAACACGCGTCTATACAATAATACTGCCAATAATTGCCTTCCACCAAAAACTGCTGCTTTTGCTGCCGCTGCTGCTGTTCGTGTGCAGTCGACTCTTGAATCCAGAGAAAGAGAGAGAGAGAGAGAAAAAAAAGGAAGCGATGGGATCGATGGACGCTTATACGTTCGATGTTGTGTGTATACGGTGCGGACGTGCCGCGGCGCGGAGATAAGACGGAGATATTTAATGACCACGACCGATCGTCCAGTGGGTGTGGTGCCTTTTTCACGAACGCATATCGGCTTTGCTGTATACGCGTAGTATAGTGAACGTTTTTACGCTCTTTTTGTGTGCATAAAAGTTGCACACGATTCCGAGCACTCGAGCGTTATTTCGATACATCAGCTAAGTTATGCAAAAAAAAAAACGCACATATGCGCGATATTATTTTCTCCCTCGAAATTCTAATTTCTTGCGCGAGCGCGCGCGCGGGCGGGCTGAAACAATCTGTTTCGTTTTTTCAGTTTTTGTCCATATGGGAACGCACAAGGGGTGATGGTGGTGGTGATCGTCGTCATCGCGGGGATAAAAAAAAAAAAGTAACGAAACTATTTGTTGTACGAATTTACATTATAGACACTCGCTCTTCTATAC